TCAGGGGGTTTTAGGTTGCTTCTCTCTCTTTTTTATAATCACTGGCATGAGCACTAAATACTAAAGTTTTGCAGTTTCTTTTGCTTAATCTACATTTTCATTATTTACTAGTTTGAAAGCATAATCTAATCCATTTATAAAGTGCTCAGAAAGTCAGGCAAGGGAATAGTCATGCTCCTTGTAAAAAGAAAAATTAAGAAACACTAGATAATATTTTTACTATGGAATATTTAGAACTATAGTAAAGTGCAACTCACAGGAAAGCACGTGATTAGAAGCACATGCAAGAAAATAAAGTTCTGCCAGACACACTGTTCTTTTGTGATCTCATGAAAGTACACACCTAATGAAAAACACCTTGGAAACAAAAATATTGGGAAATACAACAGCTGACAACCAGAAGAGTGATTTGTTTTGGATTGCTGGGGGTTTTTTTCTCCTCTGAAAGCAAATAATCAGCAAGTCATCATAATACCTTTTGGTAAATAATACCTGTTACTTGTTGATCTACTTAGAGTAGAAAATCACCCTATCTTTTAAAGCTACAAACTTATTTCTAGTAATGCGCACTATTATTACCTTTTTCTTTTCAAGGATTTAGGTTTACTCTTGGAAATGACCACAGCTTTGGAAGCTTTATAGAAAGACAGAAGGGCATTCCTGTATTTCTGAAGTAATCCTTAAATATTGACAAGGAGACGTCCTTCGATTCCGGAGTTCTAATGAGGAAAACTGTAAACTGCCAAGTTAAAAAGTTCCATATATTTAACTTTGCCTAAAGCACACATTACAGAGCCTGGAAAGTGACTAAGGTCCTGTCTACAAAAAAAGACTCTGGCAGTGGCATTTCCCCATTCATTGTTAAAAGAACATCTTTAATGTTCTCACTAATCCCAAACCTGGTAGCAGGTATCCTTGGGAAGAGTTCACATCTCAGAAAGATATGTACCAACTGCATTAAAGCCTGACTGCCTCGAAGCTTCTTAAAAGCCAGTGCTCGGCCCACAGCAGCCCTTGAGCTGAGCTGCACACCACGAACCCCTTCCCCAGACTGCACTAGTGCCAATCTGCAAATGTCACAAACAGTGACACAATCCCAGGCTAACTAGGACAGGGATGCTATTGACAAAAGCTAGGAGACTGGTAATTCCTTTGACAAGAGATAGGAGAAGAATAGGAAACAGAAGCCCAGCACTCTGCTACCCACTTCCACACCTCACTTGCCAGGTGGCAGTTCATCTGCTCAACACCCACTCATACCATGCACAAAGGAACAGGCCAGGAAATGTAGTCTGAAGATTTAGAAACAAAAATAATTTTATAATAGTGTCCCAGCTGCAGTACTACAAGACGTGAGATTTCCTCTAGGTTTTCTCGTTGGGTTTTTTTTCGGTGTAGTGGTATGCTTTTAAGCACTGCTGCACTGTGGAAGTATTTTAAACAGCACAGGTGCCAATTCCATTATTAATGTAAACTGCAGACTAATCTTACTGTCACTACACAGAACCTGTGGAGGGCTGCTCATCTCTTACCTGAGACTGGATCCTGACTGTGTAGACAGGACTAAAAAAAATTAAATACAAAAAAAAAAAAAAAAAAAAAAAAAAAAATATTAGAGATGCACTTTCAAAGGCTCAGAGGTGTGGCCTAAAGCTTATTGTACCATGCAAAAGGACCTCTATTTTGAGCCCGTTACTTGGAAAAACCTTCCAGGCATGCTGTCTTTTCCCTTGCTGTTGAGGTTGCATGTTGATGACGACATATCTATGGCCAATCTTCTGCTTATGCAGAAGTGTGGAATAAGAACTTTGAATAAAGGAAGAAGCACAATAGCTGCATATTATAAAGTGGAAAAAATACTCAAAAAATAAGTCAGCAAAATACAGGATGTTTCAAACATGCTTGATAACTAAATTCAAAATATTATTAAAACTATAATTGATGCACTTATATGAAGTGTTCTTATTTCCTTCCTGCTACAGTCAGAGCATGAATAAACAATCTGCTTTCAACTACTCTCAGCTATGGAATTTAAAGAAGCTGAAGAATATGCAAGGCAAATAAGAAATTTTAGAAGGTCTGGCATATATTTGTTGAAAAATTTTACTGGTATGTTTCAAAGACTTATGGAAAAGCTAACTACTCAGGTACAGTAGTATTCAAGGCAGTATTCAAAGGTAAATACAATCAACATGTCCCTGCTCTGATGGAAATGGTGAACTGGCTTTCATGTACCCAGTGAAAGAAAAACAGAGTCAAGTATTTAAGTTTCCACAATGATTTGTACACGTTTCCTTTGTAAAAGGCGCACCATGACTACAAACCCCACAACAGACAATTGTCTTCCAACAGATTTTACTGTTTCATACAGAATAGAGTCACTTTATACAAAACTTACATGAGTTTAGATTTCTTGATTTCAATCCTGTGAAGACAAATATCAGCCTAAGTTTGTGTGCTTTTAATAGCTGCTACATTTTGCTGCCCAGCTTGTAGATGCTAGCAAGAAAAGAGTTAGTTTATGCCAGATTTTGTTTCTGGTTAGAGAAGTCAAAATCTCAAAAAAACTACCTACCTAAAAGCTAACTCAACTAAGACATCTTAAAAAAAACACCAAAAAAACCCCAACAGAAAACCAATCCAAACCCAGAAAACTGCACTTAGATGGAAGGTAAAAGTAATATAGATAATTCATACCATTAAAAAATTCCTTATCCTCTGAGAGAATAACAGATTTTTTTTTTGTCAAGTACTATACTCTTTAGCTTCCTACCAGCCCCAAGCACCAGCACTCTTATAAATATGACATGCAAGCAAGCATGTTACTTAAGCAACTCTGTGGGTCTATCTAAATCCAGGAAAACATAAAACATCTAGAAACTACAGCAATACCTATTGTTTAAAGGCACAGTAGGAAAAAACATAGTAAATCTGTCCAGCCATCCAATCTGGAGTTAAAATTGATGATTTAACACTGGTATTCCTGAAGAATAATGCTACAAGTATCCTGAAATAGAAAATCACATCTAAGTAATAATATCAGTTATGCTGCTTTGAATGTTAGTGAAGTCCTAGTTCTCAAGCTTAACCAACTGGCCTCTTTCTTTCAAAGACAAAACACTAGGTAAAATCCCTCTGTTAATCAAGTTATTTCCAGCCCTGATAAAAGAAAGCAAGCATTGGCAAGTGCAGTTCTGTCTTTTGAAACATGTGCCCTCTGAATTCAGCTCAAACTGGACAGTTTCAAAATAACAATTCAAAAGGTTTCCATGGACAAGGTGGCACAGGCAGCCCCTGTACAGCTCTTACAGGATTCTCACCAACACAGCTTGACAAGGTTCCGGTGGGAAGACCTCTCAGTCTCTGCCTCAAGCTTTTGGTCTCTTCCTCAGATTATCCAAAGATAGCCAATTGTGATGGTGGATTTTCTGCTGGAAGGAAACTTCATGCTGGACTGAGACCACCAACTCATTTCACAGAAAATAAGATGGCAGTAGTTTTTTTTAAGTTGCCAACTTAAACTTGAGCTACAGCCCTAGATGTGAAAGGCTCTGTAATAAATTACCAATCTCCTGAGCCATCCAGTTAACAATATGCATGGTTTTCTTTTAAGCATTATTTCAAGTTCACAAATTCTCTGAAACTGTAGAAAGTAAAATGTCAAAAAATTTAGATTCTTGATGACAAATCATTTGTTTCCTGTATGCCTCTTAAAAATACAATAAAGTTGTCTACGTAGTAACATCCACTATGTATTTCCATATTATGTTTTGCTCCACTACTTCATGAGTCATGACAAAGCGACCAGAATCTTTTTCATATTTGCCCCTCAGTGCTGAGGCTTTTGTTTCATTTCTAAAACCAGGAGCAAATGAAAACCACCCACACAGTCAGTGCAACAAAGCAAAGTTTCCTTGTATTTCAGTTCTGAAAATGCTGTTTATCAGAGATATACCTTTTTCCTTCAGTTTAAATGGATAAACTGGCATTCTGTAAAAGCATTTATCAAGCATGAAAATAGATGTCAAAAAAATTAGTCCTTGACCAAATTTCCAGGAAGGCTATTAAAGCTATTTCAAAGACAAGAAGTGACTCTGGAGGAGTAGTAAGGAAGCCAGACTTATTTCACCAAACACAGAATATCACTGGTAATACTGACTCATAGGAATGAAAGGTCAAATTAATGATACTTCTAATTACTGAAATTTCATTCGTGCATGAGAGTATCATATGCAACACTTAGAAGCAAATTGAAAAAAATAATGCTATCAAAGAGTAAGAGCTACAGACAAGTGGATCAGAGAAACTACCCAATTTGAAGACAACAGACAAAAAAAGACCAGTTAGCTGTGGGCATATTTTGAAGGCAAATATATAAGAATTGGCGAGACTCACCAGTTGAAAAAAATTTGCTGGTTAAAGACAGTAACCCAGATTAAAAATGTTCTCCTTTTATTATAGCTTAGATAAACATTAGTTTACTTGCAGAAATCATCTAAAGTTGGTGTGGCTATATTACTGGTAGATTATAAACATTAGGAGAAAATAAGAGCTTTCAAAAGTCACTTTCCTACATTAAACTGATCATTTCAGAAAAAAAATCTTTTTTTCAGCAGTTTTTACAGCCAGTCATTCTCCCCCACCTACACCAGAACGGTATTTAGTTATTTATCTTGCCTGCAGTGATACTACTAGAGGCATCCTCTGTACCTCAATGTGCCTGTTATTTAAATGAACCCATTTAAAATAGTTTATTTAGAAGATGAAAAAACAAAAACAGCCATCTGATACACTTGCTCTAATAAGCATATCAGATCGCAGCCAGCTTTTAAAATTCACTCTACTAATCAAGGCCATCTGACTGCAGTGTAAAAACATTTATTTATTAGTACATGCTCTTAGCACCAAGGTTTTTGTTTCCCAGTGGTTTTTCATTAAAAAAACCAACCCTTGCCCTCAATCATCATCCCAGTGCTAAAACCCATTGCAGATCCACTTACCAAATCCCTGTGTAACACCCAGTTAGCATGCAGGTAGTGAATACCATCTAGGATCTGATATAACAGCGACTTCACCATTCCCCGAGGTAACTGAACTGGTTTCTTGTTTGCTTTAGAAGCCCTGTGAAACTTGATTATATGCTGCAAAGGGGAAAAAAGAAATGAAAATAAAAGAAGTGCAATATTTACACAAAAAGATTGCCATCGACTCCTTACACAGACTTCTTAGGGTTTTTTCAACCTTTCATGATTTGTTTTCCAAACAAGAAACATGTGCTGTAAGTACTAAAAAAATAATACTAGGTATTATTGTGTACTAGGTAAAGTGATCACTGTCCCAAAGCAATCTCCCAAAAATTAAATCAGCTTTTGCTGTGGTTTAACCCCAGCAGGCAGCTAAGCCCTGCAGAGTATGAGGAATACAAAACCACTATGACCATCAAAGCACATTTCCTTGCAGATCACTGATCATTCAGGTTTTAGAGGCATTTTTGTTTGGGGAGTCTTTTTGTTAAGATAGGCTGATATTCTGTACATCAAATCACGGAAATACAATGTATTACCTCCTACATTATTTTACTTCTAAGTTTTCTCCTACAGTAATAATGACTGTAACATTCGAGACCTAATACCAAGCAGAAATTTTTGCAAACTGCATTAGGAATTTTATGTATTTAAATCAGAAGCCCAGATTTATTCCTTCTTTATTTACTATACCCTTATAGCACAGTAGTCTCAAAACAGAAGCTGTTGACAGATCAAGTCTACAAATCTGTCCATCTGAAAGTCAGCCATCAAGTCAGAGACAGAAAAAGAACCTTTAGTAATTCTCAGTTTAGACACAAGCAATGATGTCTGGCACAAAGGAGGAGTGCAAAAGGATGTGTTGTCATAGTACTTGAGTCCCAGGTGTCACTAAGTTCAACAGCAAGGTGTGCCATAGTCATGGTAACCATCATTTCCATGTTTGCCTCCTTCAAACACAGAGGCAATTTCTAAAACAAATTTCTTATCGTATCACATTTTATTTCTGTAATGGCTCGCACTTGTGTGATCATCAAAACAGCCCAGATCTTGTCTACCAAAACCTGGCTCCAAACTTCTATCATGTGCTCTTCCTACATTCATGACCCTTCTATTCTGGGTGCAAATTAGCTAACCCAACTATCTAATACCCTTTGGGAAACTGCTTTTCCTCTCCTGCTGCAGCCCAGCTCCATACAGCCTGCCTTCCTTTGCTTCAGGCTGCAAGCCTTGCTTTCCTGTGCAGAACAGGCACATTTCTGCCCTGACAATGGTAAAACTGGAGATGGACAGAGCAAAGAAGCACTGATGAAAAGGTGACAGTCCCTGTACTGTAAGCCAAGCACCACATGCACAAGCATCCCTCAGCCTAAAGCCACAAGTTTTACCTCCTCTCACCTCTCACTTCCACCAACTCCAAAACAAATGTTACTTTCATACAGTGGACAGAGAAGTGAATCTTCAGAGACAGGCAGAGAGACAGATGGTTGTCCTGGACTTCTTTTGCTCCTGCTCTAATACACTCTGTATTATCTGGCCCTTTCCCAGCCTTACTTAAAACCTGCTGTGCTAAATACACACAGTGCTGGAGCACTTGATCTGTTGCTGGCTCTTTGGGGCACAGAGCCAACCCAGTCACCACAACCAAGTCTCTCACATCCAGGTACAGTGAACAACCAGGAGCTGGTGCAGTGGGGGAATTCTGGAGTTCATGCAGGTGTATGCATGTAAGCATAGAGGTCAAAAATGAGAGTCATTCCTAAGTACTTACATATAAACCAGTGTTTCATTAACAGAAAGATTTCTGTGATGATTTAAGTTAAGTATGAAGCAATGCAGAAATGTATAAATACAAACAAGTACAGGTCATAGTAATAATACCCCTAACAAATATGAAGCCTTGTAGCACATTTTGAAACAGAAAAAAACCCCTCAAACGTTCCTAGACTTCTGTAGCTTAGCATGTCATAAATATGGGGGAGTAGTAAAAAAAAGAGTGCTCTTATTTTTCCATCATATTAAAATAGAAACAAAACAAACCAACTGTATCCATTTCCTCAAGATGTTGTTGCTGTTTATCAGCCTCAAGAATGTCAACATTTCAGCTGTTTGCTAACTTTTTTGTCTCTAATTTTATTTTGATAACCAAACCTCAATATCAAGTATCAGAACTTCCAAGACATGTAAGAAGCTGTAAGAAAATATCTTTCATTTAATTTAGTGCAAAGAAAACTGACACACTGGCTTTTAGGCAAATGCTACTGAGTAATTCCAAACTATAAGGAGCACCATTTTCAGAAGAAATTAGTTTTACTTTGGTTTGTGCTAAGTGACATGCTGATGAAAAAACAACTCATGATTCATAGTGTGCAGTCCTTACATGTAAACATTCATAAAAATTTCCATCTCATTACAAATTGTTTCTGTGGCACCTTTTGATACAAATCTTAGCATCTTTTGAGGTTAAGCAATGTTCCAAATGTATGTCAGCATTAATATGAGGCACACACACCTTTTGTCAGGGAAGTCCAGGCTGCACACTATTTTTCATGTTTTACCATGCTATTTTATTTTTTAAGTATTCTGAATGGATATTAAGCTTACAAATATTAAGTTAACAGAGGAATACAATACGTATATTAAAACAAATTTATTTTGCCTCCAACATGTTTATATTTTAAAGCTGTATCTCGCAATTAGGAATAAATAGCTTTCCTCCCAAATACACAGAATTTCTGCAGATGAGTTGAGAAAAATTTTTCCCACGGAAATGTATGAATTCAATATACAGTGTAACTACTCTTATTTCATGTATTCATGGATGACAATCAGTGCAACTAAAACTCTGAACTGTCCTGTTCAGAAAATAAGTTAGTCATTTTTCAAAGGGAATTCACCTGTGTAATCAATACATTTTCCTGCACCCTACTTCAGCTCTAATAGGGATTTATAGCTACATTTATTTAGGTAGACTTCTAGCTACTGAGAGCTGATTTCTGCAGATTTTTTGCCATTTTTTATCTTCTAAAAGAGATCACAAGTTAACTGTGCAGTGTGTTTACTTAATATTTTCCATTGCTTTTCCCTTTAGTACTGAAAATGCTTCCAACATGGAGTAAGCAGCTATGCTGTATTTAAAAATTATGTGTCTCTCATTTGCTGCAACTAAAATTCTAAGCCTGGTACCTACAAACAATTCACCTTACCCAGAGGTCATGCTCAGCGTAGTCAAAGAGAAGCCACACTTTCCTGTCAGCATGAGAAAGGAACACTTTTTGCAGAGAAATGACATTTGGATGCTTGAGCTCCCGCAGCAACTGCAAAAGAAAAAGTCCGCAACAGTTATTTCCATACATCCAGAGCTGGGATATTTAAAACACAAACAACAAAGTTGAAATCTGCAAGCCATAGAAAACCACTTTTTTTTTTTTTGTGAAAGAACCAGTTTCAAACCAAAGCTGAAAGCAGGTCATAACACCCTCAGGGCATTCACTTCCTATTCATTTTCTGAAAGCTCAACTCCATGTAAACCTCATTATTATCCAGGACCAAGATGACTCTGCAAACAGCCAGCTGTGGCATCTGCCCTTTTACATAGGCTGTAATCTTCAACAGTCCCAGTTGGAGTACCCCATTTTCTCCTCACTCCCAATTATCTGAAAATGCTTCATTTTGGTTGCAGTCATTTGAGTCTGAATGGGATGGCTGATGTAGAGCTTGTCAATGCAGTCACTAAACCAAGATGTGGTTTGTAAGGTACATTCTGCTCATCTAAAAAGTCGCCACTCTCCACAGAAAAGCGTCCAGCTTCTTGCCACAACACAGATCACACCAGTTAGTACAATCACAGAAGCCACCCATAAAACAGCACCCAGTTCAAGAGAAAACTACTCTGTATGCACAAAGGCTGGTAAAAGGTAACATGGTACAGAGCTCTTGAGCTGAAACAAATCAGGGTACTAACAGCAGAGACAGCCCTAGCAAAGGGACACACCTGGAACATCTTTCAGCGGTAGTGAGCCATTAAACCAGCTCAGCTGCTTCAGAAACTATAGTTTGAACCCCACCAAAAGGAAAGCATAGATGAGATACAGCACAACAACTGAATGCAGACAGCATCAGTCTATTTGAGCTCTACTGGTCATGTTATAATCAATCATACTGCACTCATTAAATTGGTAAGAAAGAAACAAAAGCTTTATCTAAGCAAACTGTAGTTAAATGTGACTACTCAAGAGTAGTCAAATTCCTAACAGTTCAGTGTGCCAAAAACGATGACAGTTTTATTAAAAGGAACCGTTAGGGCTTTTTCTTTTTTAAAAAAATGCCAATGGAGAATGAAACTATTCTTTGAATACAGAATTTACTTCTGACACTCAATAAAAATAGTTTTTTCCACTACATAGCAGGAAATAAAAAAAAAATACTTTTTATTTATACCTTTGTCATAAGTGCTAAAATTTTAGCTGCTACTGAGATAGTAAAATGGAAGTATATTGTGTGTAACATATATGTGTTCTTGTTTCCTTCTTTTATTTGAGACAGACTTGCATTATGACTCACTGACCAGTCTTCAGTGTAGCATTTGTTGGAATAAAGGACTGATAGCTCACAGAGATTTTACCTGAAGTATAAGATCAGAGAGATAGTGTAGAGGAGACAAAGCAACAGTAGAAATCAATGCAGAAGGCTGTAGAATTTCAGCATGGTAAAATTCTAAGATTTGTAAAAGCAATACATCAAGGCACTTAAAGGTAGGATCCACAAGAAGTATGGAATTCTTTAAATGCCTGTAATTCTTAGAAAGAGTAAGATCAGTATGGGAAAAACCAAGAAATGCTTATTTGCACTTTTTTATCAATTGCAGGTGGGGACTGCCCGCAGTAACTTAACCCCAGCCAGAAGCTAAACCCCACAGAGCCACTTGCTCACCTCTCTCAGTCAGCCATGAATGGAAGAACAAAAATGCAAGGAATTTGTGAGGTAAGACCGTTTAGTAAACGAAAGAAAGAGGAATTAAACACCACATCCACAACAAAAAACAACAGAAGCAATGCAAAGGCAGTCATGTACAACCTCCCACAAGAGAACTGATGCCCAGCCCGCCTCCAAGCAAAGGCTACTCCTCCAAAGGGAGGAGGGGCAGGAATGGGAAACAGAGGAAGCCTGAACACTGTAAGCAATAGCCAAAGCACTGCTGGCATACCAACAATGCTTTAGTCACGAATCCAACACGCTCCACCATACAGGCTAATGCAGAGAAGATTAACTGCAAACCAGACCAGCAAGCACAGCATCAAAGAATGGCAAATGATGTTGTAGGGTTTAAGAATACACTGTGCCAGTCCCTATAACAAAGGAATTTTTCTTTAGTCAGCATCAATCCACATAATAAATTTATGCTAGAAATTTTAATTAACTGTATCAGCAGATTACATGATAGTTCAACAGCTATGTGTCCATACCAAAATATTGTACTTCCTGTGACCTAATGGACACGTTGTACCAGATACAACAAACTATTCCTTTTGAATATTTTGAAAATTTTGAAAGATGCAGATACTAGTTAGAGCTCCGAAAAATAATGTAATGTTCTCTTTTGTCCTTTCTGATCGCACTTTAAGTGTCTCCTTCTCCTTACTCCCAAGATAACAGCTATCACCTACCTAAAAAAATCCAACCTCTTCCCATGAAATGTGATTCAGCTTGGAGAACACACAGAAAATCTATCACCAAAACTGGACACAAATATGAGAAACTTTTAAGTAATGCAGCAGAAGGACTCCCTGTCTGTGTAGGGAGGCAACATAGAATTCTCCCTTGTTTGTTCTACAGTTGTCTTTGCAGACGTTGAGATTGACAGCATTCCTTGCTTTTTTCCTCACCACTCCACCTTGATCGCTCCCCTTCCTGCCTTTTATTTTTCTTCTAAACATCCCAGCAATCCTCTCAAATACCCAAGAACCCCACTATCCTCCTAAAAATTCCATAGCAACCTGCTCTCCTTCTCATCAGTCAAGCTGACACTCTTCAAGAACACACCTGGGAAGTCCCTTTTGCAGCCCATCACCACTGTGTTAGGAGTTCTGGCCTTTGTTACTGACACTGACAGCACCTGGTACTGTTTTGCATCTGTGTACTCAGTTTATCATTCTTGCTGGTTTCTGCTTTTGCCTTTTGTGCTAAATAGCTGTTAAATCCACATTTTTTTAATTTGCTAAAAAAACCTTATGGGTTCAGTCAAAGCCAGACAGCCACAAGCAATCCAGTGAGGAGGATGGCTAACAAACATCAGCAAAACCATCAGAATAAGGAAATGATTGCTGCAGTGGTGGCAGATGATTCCTGAATCACTGTCTTGGAAAGACTGAAATGCTCACAGTGACAAATGCAAACAACTGTCTGAAGTATCTGAAAGAGCTCGTGCAGATGATGACACATCACATGGGCTGTAAAGAGCATTTCCAGCAACCTCAGTCTCAACAAACCCAGCCTCTGTAGCCCATAAACCACATGTCTTTCCTACCAGATGACTTGACTTGTGCCCAGCAGCTGACAGCGTTGAAACAAAGTCAGTTCAGACAAAGCAGACTGCAAGAAACATGCTTTGACTATCAGTATGATGCCTGCTAATGATAAAGGCTATTTTTTGGCCTAATGACTTTGTTATCTGCTTCTGTCTATCCTAGCTCTGTTCTGTAGAACACAAAGAGAAACCAGACAAAAATTATGTGTTTGGCTCTCAGAAAATTGCCTTCCTTTTCATTTCCATATCACATTATGATTCAAATCTATTTCCTCAACCAGAAAGGTTTGTCTTATATTAGTTAGTCTGGGTACCCCCATATAAAGAAGGGAGACCCAACAGACCTTCAAAGAAATAGAAATCAGCAAATTACAAATATGCCAGTACATCTGTTTTAGAAGCCCATGTTTGTCCCTGGCAGGTCTTGCCCTTGTTTTCATACAGTTCAAGATCCAGCAAAGGAAACAGCATCCCTGTGTGCAGTCCTGAGCTCACGCTAAGATCCCTCCATCTCCCTCTTGAAATGAAGAAATGCTCATTTCACACACCCATGGGGCAGCTGAGGGACAGCAAATCAAAGTGTCCCAATGATGCATAAAATTGTAAACTGCTTCAGGAACAAGGAAAAAGTGAAGTAAAACAGGATGTTATTAAATAATCAACAGCAGCAGTAAGGGAACCAGGAGAACTGCAGCATGACTAAGGCCAATATTTTCTTGCACTAACAACAACTATCTTTCACATAAAATATAAGCTAAAGTCAGCACCATTTTTTATGAACATAACCTGCTTTCCCTGGTGATATTCCCGCATTTCCCGTAAAGCTCTCCACAACTACAACACTCCTTACAAGCCAAGACACAGCATTCTTCACATAGATGAGGAATTCTATCTCTGCTGCAAATGCCATTTCACCCCTGCTCTTGACACCTGCTAACATTTGTGGTGCATGGGGAATGTTAACCTGCAAAACGTAGCCTTGCAATACTACCATGCTTACTTCTATAATTCAAGTTGCACAGGGGAGGTTAAGATCCATTATCAGGAAAAATTATTGCACCAAAACGCTTGTCAAGGACTGGAACAGGATGCCCAGGAAAGTGTTGTGTTGCCATCCCTGGAGGTATTTAAAAGACATGCAGATGAGTTGTTACTGAGGGACATGGTTTAGTGCTGGAATTGGCAGTGCTGTGTTAATGGTTTGACTTGACAATACAGGTCTTTCCAAACCTAAATGATCCCAAAATCCTATAATGGGCCACAACCGTTGAGCAATTTACCAGGTAACTTGGCCCAGATTGAGTTTCCCCTATGTTAGGGCATCAGCTGTTTTAGAAAAAGCAGCTTCTTGTTCTGATGGCCATCCTTTGAGCACCATGCAGCTCTTCTCCCAAACCCTAGGACAGTCAGAAATCTGGCTAAACAGAGAGCCACTGGCAGTATCAACCAAACACTCATTTAAACAAAAGTCACTATTGCATTACATGGCTAATTTGATGGTATAAATTCCAACTCTAATCATCATTTCATGCTTCAAAAAGGCTCACACCAGTTTCACCAAGGAATCCAAAAACAAACATCATATATTAATAATCATGCCATGGCCTTGAAATGGAAAAACGGGCAAGCAGGGCCTTGGAACATAAAACAGACTGCAATTGATGCAGAATGGCAACTTTCAGACTGGAAGGAGAATGACAAATTTTACTCATCCTATAACAAGTAAAGAGCAAGAGGAATTATTGCTACAACAGCTGAGAATAGGCAGCAATAAGACATTACCTGAACCAC